ACATTTACAAAAATCAACAAGCTGATTCTAAAATATATATGGAAAGGCAAAACAACTAGAAGAGCTAAAATATTGTTTACAAAGAACAAAGTTGGAGGACTTGTACCACTCAATTTCATGATTCATTATAATTCATAGTAATCAAGATAATGTATTATAGATGAAAGGACAGACACCTAAATCAATGGAAAAGAATAGAGAGCCCAGGGCGCCTGGGTGGCTCAGTCGTTAAGCGGCTGCCTTCGGCTCAGGTCATGATCCCAGGGTCCTGGGATCGAGTCCCACATCGGGCTCCCTGCTCCGTGGGAAGCCTGCTTCTCCCTGTCCCGCTCCCCCTGCTTGTGTTCCTGCTCTCGCTGTCTCTCTGTCAAATAAATAAATAAAATCTTTAAAAAAAAAAGAGAGCCCAAAAATAGACCTATATAGGGGTACCTGGGTGGCTCAGTTGGTTAAGCATCTAACTCTTGATTTCGGCTCAGGTCATGATCTTAGAGTTGTGAGTTCAAGTCCCGCATTGGGCTCCACGGTCAGAGTGGAGCCAACATTAAAAAAAAAAAAAGACCTATATGAACATATTGATTGATTACTGCCAAAGATACAAAAGCCATTCAATGGAGAAAGGACAATCTTTTCAACAAATGACGCCCCCCCAAAGTTTATTTTGATACATACCTCACACCTTATATAAAAATTAACTTAAATATATCACAGACCTAAAAGTAAATATAAAATACTAAAGTTTTTTTTAAGATTTCATTTATTTATTTGAGAGAGAGAGAGAGGGAACACGAGCAGGGGCAGAGGAAGAGGGAGAAGCAGACTCTCCACTGAGCAAGGAGCCTATGGGGCTGGGATTATGATCTGAGCTGAAGGCAGATGCTTAACTGAGTCACCCAGATTTAGGATTTGCAACTTCCACAATCATGAGAACCAATTCCTTAAAATAAATCTAGATATATAGATAAATCTGGATATATAGACAGAAGACAGAAAGGATGCTATTGGTTCTGGTTCTCTGAACCCTAACATAATGGCCTTGAAAATTGGAGTGATGTGGACACAGCCAAGGAATGCCAGCATCCACCAGAAACTGGAAGAGGCCTCTGTAGAAAGTATGGTCTTACTAACACCTTGATTTTGACCCAGTAAAACTGATTTGGGGTTTCTATCCTCCAGACCTGTGAGAGAATAAATTCCTGTTTTTTCAATCCACAAAGTTTGTGGCAATTTGCTATAGCAGCTACAGGAAACTAACATACCCTAATGGATAAATTTGTTTCTTACAGGGTCTGGGTTCACAATTCTGAAATTAAATGCTTACTAAGGTTGAACAAAAGAGTAAATAAATTATAATTAATGAAAGCCAAGTTTCTCACTGTCAGAGAAAGAAGTTTCAAATAAAAGGAAAACACTAGAATGACCCTCATGTTGCTGGAGTTATCAGTACAAGCTCATGTTTTGTTTTAAGTATGTAGACAGATGATAGATAAATATACATACATATATTTCTTGCTCTGTCCACTGAGAATTAGTGATACCACGGTAGCTATAGTATCTTAGACCTCCTTTGATGATAAATCAGTCTTAACTGAATTGGAATTTTCCTCTTCTAAATTTAGAATACCTTTGATAATCATAGAGAAAAAAATTAGGCTCATCATATTAAAATAGATTTTTTTCTTAAACATAAATAGATGTGCAGTTTTAGCTTTTCTACTAAATGTAACAGAGGGCTCTGGGACTGGACCCCCCATTTCTAAAACCTTACTGAATAGAAGTGGAGATGAGTTCCTATTTTGAAGATGACCGTTATTTTGAAGATTTCATCTATCATTAGGGAAATACTGCTCTTTAAAAATTATCTTTAGAAGGTTATTTGATTATACAGTTATTTCTGTGATCTATATTAGAAACACTGCACATAACTCTGCTAGTTGAGATTTATGATATTCAAACACAAATAACTCTGCTTCCTTTCTCTTTTTACCTTATATACAGAAGGTATTCAATCAAATATCTTTCTTTTAGGCAGCATATACTTTTCTGATTTTAGGTGTCATCAACATCAAACCACAACACAATTAGTTGTTATCACCTGAAACTTATCACTGCACATCTGGACCAGTGCAACTGCCTCCTACTTGATTTAACTCTAATTTCTCTCAACTCTAACCATATTACCTGCTTAACCTTTCTTAGTCATTCCTTTTATCTTGCAACTCTGGCATTTAAGACATAAATTCCTTATCAGCTTCAGAAACCAAGTCAAAACACTTGAAGATTCTCTATAAATCATTCTTACCATATCTATTAACCTCAGTTTCCTACTATTACTCTCCACTCTGTTTAGGCCTATTTTGAATTTCCTCCATTTGTACTAAATTTGTGATTGCATTTTTCTTTTGCTCATATTGTTCCCCTTACCTAGAAAGCCTTCCCTGCCTCTTTTACCAATTCAGTTCAATTCTATTAATTCAACAAAAAATTAATGAAATCTTACTAGACACTGGTCACTAGAGTTAGGCAACAAAAAATGCAAAGCTAAAAAAAAGCAGCATTAACACTCAATAATTTTACAATCTACATACCTTTAGTGTCCTGATTTAAATCCTACCTCTTCAATGACTCCTTCCCTATGCTTTCCTGTCCATGATAACCTTCCTTCTTATAATTCTTAAAGCACTCAACCTCTTCTCTACCACAGACCAGGTTATAAACTATAGAATTTGATTATAAACTATTTTATTGTAATGTGGTTTTGTTGTTTCATAAGGTATGTCTCAACTAAATTGTAAGTTCTTTGAGTGTAAGACTGTGTCTTTTAGCTCTTCTATATACCCTCAAAATGCCATGCACACTGTAGATACTTTAAAAATACTTATTTCATCTCTTTTATTGATACATGATACCTGTGTGCTAGGCATTTCTCTATTTAAAGTAAAAATAAACCATGGAATCACTGGGTCTCTCAAGGCTAAAACCAGTTTTGACCTTCTTAAATAACAAACCAATTACAACATTTTCTCCTTCCTCATATATAGCCAATGTCTTTATTGTATCAAAACTACCAATTAATTCAATCATAGGGTCAATAAAATACTTGATATAAAAAGAAAAACTCTAGGTTTTTAACTGAAATTTTCAGCTTTCAACCAGTTGTTGAAGCTTTTATTTTTAAACTACAGTCTGAAGTTTTCTTAAATTCTTTCTCTAGTTAGCTGTATCATTTCTCTGACTTCTATCAAGTCTTTGGGAAAACTTAATTTAATACAATTGTGGTATGTTGTAGACACCCTGAAGAAGCAAGAGAGATTCACCCAAAAATTGGCTTGGATATTGAGACTAATGACACCACATACACCCCAGTAGGGTATGAAAAGGTTTATTACTCATATAATGATATTTTCTGGAGAGGGCAGGCCAGGACTACCTAGTTTGTCTGAAAATGGCTTGAGAGATCAGAGGAAGGAGACTGGCTATGGGTTTTTGTGGTGGTTGGGGGTGGGGCCAGAACAAGAGTTCCTATATATGGCTTGAACTTCCCACTGGTGCTAAAGGCGGGAACACCTGGTTGTTGTTTTTTTTTTTTAAGATTTTATTTATTTGAGAGAGAGAATGAGAGAGAGAGAGCACATCAGAGGGGATAGGGTCAGAGGGAGAAGCAGACTCCCTGCCGAGCAGGGAGCCTGATGCGGGACTTGATCCTGGGACTCCAGGATCATGAACTGAGCCAAAGGCAGTCGCTTAACCAACTGAGCCACCCAGGCGCCCTGGGTTTTTTGTTGTTTTTTTTTTTTAAGATTTTATTTATTTACTTGACAGAGAGAGAGCACAAGCAGGGGGAGAGGCAGGCAAAGGGAGAAGCAGGCTCCTTGCCTGCTGAGCAAGGAGCCAGATGTGGGACTGGATCCAAGGACCCCAGGATCATGACCTGAATTGAAGGCAGACGCCTAACCGACTGAACCACCAGGCATCCTATGGAACACCTGGGCTTTCTTATTAGCTTGATCAGATGTGGAGCAGAAGGGAAAGAAAATGCAGTGAAGCTTAAAATCTGTCAGCAGTCACACCAGAATTTGGAATCAGACTCTTTATTACTCAAAAACTCAACGTAACCAATTTAAAAAGCACAAAATACAAAGACATTAATACGTTTATATAATTTCATCAAAATTTAAACATCTTCATTTAACCTACGTAACTCACAAGCAAATACTGCATATAAAACATGAAGGCCAATTTTTTTGTTAGAAACAGAAAACAAAATTTTAAATGTTCTTCAAAAAAGTTTAAGCAAGAAAATATAACAGTATCATCATTCATATAACAATCTAACTCTCAGAAATTACTCTAGCCCTTCACATTTAATTTCTTTCCATTAAAAATATTAGAATAACTGACAAAATTATAATTTTATTATTTGTTGTATTAGAAGAAAATAACACATTTTATTCACTATCACTAACATGAGTTCTGTGAGATTATTATTAAAGCACCACTCTTTATACCGCAACAGTGAAGCATAAGTTAAACAGTAGTTTTAAAAGCATTTTTTAGTAGCTAAAGTACAAAGTACACCTCAGCTAATTCTGCATAGTTACTGCTACAAGTTCTTCTGGTGGCCTAAATTTCAGGTTCTTATCAAAGCACCTAAAATACTACCAGAATGAAACTTAGGTTCTGGGGAGAAGCAGGCTTAATATTTATAGTAAAGATTAATGAAAAAGCATCAAATTCTATTAAGATTAATTCTGCCTAAATACGGCTTGCAAAATCAAAACCAAAATAAATGACAGAAAATGCTTCAAATAAAACAAAATTTGATGACATAGGGTTAATTTTCCTCAATATTTAAATATATAATCAAATAATGTAACTATGGTAACCCATTACTGCTTTAATCAACAAAAGAAAGTAGTCTTCATTTTTAAGTAATAATGTAAGTTTATGCCCTAGATGATTACAGAGCAGTTAAATAATTTGAGAAATTAGTAATCAGTTCAAAAAAAAGTAAATTGTGTTGTATTTTGTGAGGAAGATGAAAAACCTTTTACAGAAGAAGGTGTTGAGTTTTGATCCTGTTCAAATGAAAATGGAAAACTAAAATAATCTTTTCCAGTTCCAAATGTGTGAGTTGAAGAGTCTGATGAAAAAGAAAATGTGAAGCCATCTTCTCCTTCTGGTTTCCCAAATAAGTTTCCTGAGGAAGATAAACATTAAAATACCATGCTATTCATGTTACATAATTTACATAATCTATTAAATTACATATACTGCAAACAATAAATAGGGTAACACTGAATCACTTATTAAGCAGAGAGTTAACTGTATTCCTATGTGCAAAGAACTGTGAGAAATCAAAGAGATCCAAAATTACTTTCAAGTAATTTGAGCTCAAGCATAATAAGCACTAGTATATATGGTAGGAAAAGGGGTAAAACACCTCAAATGGAGAGAACAGCACAGAGGCACAGAAACAGGCATGCATAGGAAGTATAAGGATAACAGAAATCAATTCAGCTTGTCAGGAGCACTGAGAAATCATAAAAAGTTATTAAAAGGGTATTAATGAAGATGATCTTAGAAAGACTGCTGAATGTCCAACTACAGAATCTGGACTTTATTTTATATGTAAGAGGAAGCCATTAAAAGTTTTCAAGTGGAGGGGCACCGGGATTGTTCAGTCGGTTAAGCAATGGACTCTTTGATTTTGGCTCAGGTCATGATCTCAGGATTGTGAGATCAAGCCCCGTCTCCCACTTCACACGGGGTGTAGAGCCTGCTTAAGATTCTCACTCTCCCTTTCCTTCTGCTTCCCATCAAAATAATAAAAAAAAATTTTTTTTTAAGTTTTCAAGTGGAGATATGACAGGATTTGAAATACTTTATAAGGATTACTAAGGAAAGAATGTGTAGAAAGCCTGGAACAGTAGAGCGTCTAGAAGTGGGGATAATAGGAAAGAAATGATGAAAGCTTCATCATATAGTCACAGCAAAACGAATGGGGAAAGATGCTGGGTCTGAGAGATATTGCAGAAGTCAAACTTATTCAACTATTATTTATGAGTTACTACAATGTACTGTTTGTGGCATTGTTCAAGGAAATGGACAGAACAGTGAAAAGGCTTCTATAGTTCTAAAAGGAATTTAAGATTTTATTTTTATTTATTTTAGAGAGAGAGAGAGCACAAGCTGAGGGGAGGACAAGAGGGGGAGGGAGAGGGAGAAAATCTCAAGCAGACTCCACGCTGAGCATGGAGCCTTATGTGGGCTCCATCTGATGACCCTGAGATCATGACCTGAGCCAAAATCAAGAGTCAGATGCTTAAACAACTGAGCCACCCAGGCGCCCCAAGAAGAATTTTTGAAATCAACTTTACATAAAGAATGATTTGGTTAATGATGCCAAGAACTGCTCCTAAGGAAAAATATTATTTTTCATTCACTATATATGTAAGACTATAAATATTAAAATACTTTAATACCTTTATTATAATTTTTAGTTATTAACAAACTCAAAATACACAGTAATCTAAAAACTTACTTGAAGTCTTTTAAAACACCTGTATTTTTTCCATAAAGAACCAATTCAGTTAAGCAGAACAATTTACTTTGTAGCACTTTAAAATTTCATGTATCTTTAAACACCTCAATCATTTCAACCTAAATAAAGCTGAGCCTACCAGCAGTAGGGTGGGTGGATGGAGGGATGGTTAGAAAGACAGATGGACTGACTGATTTACCAGATACTTGAGTTCTTCCTCTAACCCTTTATTTTTCCATTGACTTCAGTACACATCCATAAGACTTAAATGAAGGAAAATAACTGTAATATAGCTATAGGCTCAGAAAGAACTAAAATCTTGAATCTGCCTTTGAATAAATGAATTTGATGTTTTTTATTTCAGAAGAAAAGAAGTTCATATAAAGTCTCCATAAAACTCCTATGTTCATTATAAATCAAATAATAGATTAATGTGCAAGGTGCTGTGGACAATACAAAGGTGAATAAAACAGAATCATTGTCCCCAGAGACCTGTGATTAGAGAAGATTTTTTTATATATTGATAAATAACAACAGACAAAAGAATATTATAAAGTATATAAAAAAAGAAACATAGAGAAAAGTGAAGGAGAGATCTTTTTGGGATGAAAAGTTGAAGGGAAATAAAAGGATTTATGGAACCTGGTCTTGGAAGATGGTTAGAAAGAAATGGAAGTTGATTTCAGGAAGAAAAAAGTAGGTAAGAAAGTGTGGGCATATTTGGGATGTAGTGAGTTCTTTAGTCTGGCCAAAAGCATACATTATTTCTAAGAGAAAAGGCTTAAAATGTATGTCAGAACAAGGCTAGATACATCACATTAATAGAATAAAAGAAAATAATCATATAATCATCTCAGATGCAGAAAAAGCATTCAACAAAATTCAACATCCATTCATGATAAAAATTCAACAGTTTAGGCATAGAAGGTACATATCTCTACATAATAAAGCCATATATGACAAGCCCACAGGTAACACTACACTCAATGGTGAAAGGAGAAGAGTTTTCCTTTAAAATCAGGAACAAGACAAGGGTGCCCGCTCTTACCACTCCTATTCAAAGTAGTACTGGAAGTCCTAGATAGAGCAATCAGGCAAGAAAAAGAAATAAATATATGTATATATATACATACGCACACACAATGGAATATTACTGAGCCATAAAAAAAAAAACAGGAAATCCTGCCACTTATAGTAACACTAATGGCATTATGCTAAGTGAATTAAGTCAGACAGAAAGACAAATAATGTATAATCTCACTTGTATGTGGAACTGAAAAGGAAAGGAAAAAAAGAAAAATGTCCACTATTCTATCACCAGAGCCAAAGCAGTACCGAATACATTTCTATGTGAATGAATCAATTAATCATGGGATAAGAGAAGAAAGAAGATCAAATAAAAAGTAAGCACCAGAGATATAGGAGGAAATCTAAAAACTTCAGAAAGAAGATGAGAATAATCAACTATATCGAATGCTACAGAGATAGTGAATATGGTAATAAAGAGAAAATACCCATAATGTTTAATAAGTGTTAAGTCACTAGTTGTTATTGGAGAATTTGATGGAGTAGTGAAAGAAGCTAAATTGCTACAAAAAATAATTAGTGAGTGGTGCAGAAGTAATAGAATTTTAAAAGAATAAACTGAGGGCCTGAGAAAATCAGAGGCAAACTAAATAAAAAGTGGAGAAGTTAATATTTTTATATGTAGCAAACTTCAAATCACTTACCAATTTCTTGTTGTGATGAGAGAGGATTTAAATTTCCTGTAGAATAATGTTCATTAAACTGAAAAATAATTTCCATTCATTATTACTCAAGAAATCAGTAAAACAGTATATATGGTATTTATATTTGAATATAAAGCCTGGTTCTTCTAATAAGCATAATTAGAGTATACAAAATGGCAACATTCTATATAGCACATTACTGTACTTTAAAAAAAGACCTATCTTTAAAACCTATCATTTGCTTATATTAAAATAAAGCTTATTGATTTGATTCTTGCAATAGATAATATATTAAAAGGTATATATAGTATACTAAAGATAGTTCCTACTTTGGAATATTAATATAACCTAAAATTCTAAGTAACTTTTGCTTTATTCTGAAGGTCTTTTACAAAGCAGGTTCTTGGTATTGTTTTCCTGCCTATAAAAGTAAGGAAATATGACAGCTTCATGTCAGTTCAGATCAAGTTTTGCTGCCAAAAGAGTCTGTTTTCTCTGTAAAACAGGTTTTTTTCAAAAAATGGGATCATGACAACAGATTTCTGTCCCTTTTTTTTCTCTTAATGCTGCATTATGAGCGTTTTCCCATGTCACTATTCTTCCAAAACCAAGATTCTTTTGATGGCATTTTCATATTCTTCCATATGAACACACCATACAGTTTCTTTTTTGTTTGTTTTTATTTAAATTCCAGTTAGTTAACATAGAGTGTAATATTAGTTTCAGGTGTACAATTTAGTGATTCAACACTTACATACAACACTCAGTGCTTATCACAAGTGCACTCCTTTATTAACCCATTCCCCTACCCCCTCCCCTCTGGTAACCATCAGTTTGTTCTCTATAGTTAAGAGTCTGTTTCTTGGTTTGCAATCATTTTTTGCACTTTGGACATTTAGGTCACTTCTGTTTTTTTCTAATACAAATTACACTTGAGTAAATACTGTTATGCACAGATCTACATTTTTTTGACAATTAATAAGGAAAACTGTTTATCCCAGAGATTTTATAAGTCACTTGAATTTCTTTTTCAGTGATTATCTATTCACCTAAAGAACTTTGTATATATCTCTATTGAGGTAGTAATTCTTATTAATCCACATAAGCTTTTTACATATTAAAGGCATTAATTCCTTATATTATTGCAAATATTTTATATCACATTATCATTTTGCCTTTAAAAATTTTTTAACATATAAAAATTTTCTATGGACCCAAACCCAAACCCTTTTATTTTCTTTTGGCTCTTCTTCCACTGTTTTAATGTTCAGAGAATCCTTCCTCTTATTAAGATCTAATGAATATTTAAAATTTCAAGACTTTCTAGCCCATACTATTGATCAATTTATCAGTCCTTGTACCATTATCACATTTTGATTGCTCTTGGTTCCCCCTCACCAGTCTTCTTTTCCACAATATTCTTATTATTGTCTGTAGGATCTATAATACAATTTTATTTGTAAAATAGGTAAATTGTCTTATCTTTTTGTCAGTCTAATGATGAGTTTATAAATTCTGTCAATTTTTTTCAAAGAACCAACTTTGGCTTTGTCAATTTTCTCTATTGCTTTTTTTCTATTTCATTGATTTATCTCCCTTATTTTTTCATTCTATTTACTTTGTGTTTACTTTGTTCTTTTTCTAGATTTCTTTTTTTTTTTTTAAGATTTTATTTATTTGACACAGAGAGAGAGAGAGAGAGAGAGAGCACAGCAGGGGGAGCAGCAGGCAGAGGGAGAGGGAGAGGGAGAAGCAGGCTCTCAGCTGAGTGGGGAGCCCAATGCGGGGCTTGATCCCAGGACCCTTGGACAGTGACCTGAGTCGAAGGCAGATGCTTAATGACTGAGCCACCCAGGAACCCCATTTTCTAGATTTTCAAGGTGAAAACTTAGGTCACTGATTTTAGACCTTTCTTCTTTTCTATTAACTGAATTATTTAAAATATTAATTAAATTATTTAAAGCCATGGTTTTATTCTGGTTTTGGCAACATTCCTCCATTTTGAAACACTGAATTTTCATAATCACTCATTTCAAAATCTTTTCTAATTTCTCTCATGATTTCTTCTTTTTTTGTTTTGTTTTGTTTTTGTGTGTGTGTGTGTTTTAAAGATTTTATTTATTTGACAGAGAGAGACAAAGCAAGAGAAGGAACACAAGCAGGGGGAGTGGGAGAGGGAGAAGCAGACTCCCTGCTGAGCAGGGAGCCTGATGTGGGGCTCGATCCCAGGACCCTGGGATCATGACCTGAGGCGAAGGCAGACGCTTAAAGACTGAGCCACCCAGGCGCCCCATGATTTCTTCTTTGATCCATGGCCTAATTATTTAGGATTTTCCTTCTACTTTATTTATTTCTAATTTAATTATATTGTGGAAAGAGAACATACTTCCTATGATCTCAATCCTTTGAAACTTATTAAGACTCATTTTATGGCCCAGAATATGGTCTTGGTGAATATACCAACAGCACTTGAAAAGAATATAAAGGCATACCTCAGAAATATTACAGGTTTGGTTCCAGACCACCACAAAACCGTGAATATCACAATAAAGCAAGTCAAAAGAATTTTTGGTTTCCCAATGCATATAAAAGTTATGTTTACACTACACTATTAAGTGTGCAATAGCATCATGTCTTAAAAATTGCACATACTTAAATTTAAAAATATTTTATTGCTAAAAACATGCAAACTTTCATCTGAGCTTTCAGTGAGTTGTAATCATTGATCACAAACCACCATAACAAATATAATAATAATGAAAAAGCTTGAAATATTGTGAGAATTACCAAAATGTGACACAGAGATACAAAGTAAACGAATGCTGTTGGAAAAAATGATGCCAGTAGACTTGTTTAGCACAGGGTTGCCATAAACCTTCAATTTATTTAAAAAAAATAAAAGCAGTATCTGCAAAGTGCAATAAAACAAGACATGCATATATAAGCTGTGGAGCTGAGGTTGCTGGATGTGGTTGGTGTTCTATAAATGTCAGTTAGGTCAAGAGGTTTGATGGTAGTGTTCAGATTTTATAGATCTTTATTGATTATGTTGTCTAATTCAATCAAGTGCTGAGAGAAGGGTGCTAAAAATCTCCAATCAAATTTGTGTTTTTTTCTATTTCTCCCTTTAATTCAGTCAATTTTTGTTTCTGTATTTTTTTTAGTAGAGTTGACAGACAATGTTACATTAGTTTTGGGTGTACAACTTAGTGAATTGACAAGTTTATCCATGATGTTATGTCCACCACATTTATAGCTACAATCTGTCCCATTACATTGCTATTACAGTATCACTGTATTCCTTATGGTCTGCTTTTCATTTGTTTCTGTATTTTGAAGCTGTTATTAGGCACATACACATTTGTCATTGTTATATCTTTCTTAAGAACTGGCCCTTTTATTTTTTTATTAGAGAGAGAGCGAGAGAAAGAGAGAGAGTGAGTGAGCAGGGGCCAGAGGGAGAGGGAGAAGCAGGCTCCCCACTGAGCAGGGAGCCTGATGCGGAGCTGGATCCTAAGACCCCAGGATCATGACCTGAGCCGAAGGCAGATGCTTAACGACTGAACCACCAGTCGCCCCCCTAGCCCTTTTATTTTTAAGAAATGTCCTTCTTTATCTCTAGCAATATTCTTTGTCTTGAAGATTACCTAAAATGATATAAGTATAGCCACTGTGACCTTCTTACAGTTTTTATGATATATCTTTTTCCATCCACTTCCTTTTTTTTCTTTCAAGATTTTATTTAAATTGTAGTTAGTTAACATACAGTGTAGTATTAGTTTCAGGGGTAGAATTTACTGCTTCATAACTTGCATATGACACCCAGTGCTCATTACATCAAGTGCCCTCCTTAATGCCCACCACCCATTTACCCCATCCCCCCACCCACCTCCTCTCTAGCAACCCTCGGTTTGTTCCCAATTGTTAAGAGTCTCTTATGGTTTGCCTCTCTCTCTGTTTTCATCTTACTTTATTTTTCCTTCCTTTCCCCCATGTTCATCTGTTTTGTTTTATGAGTGAAATCATATGGTATTTGTCTTTCTCTGACTGACATATTTCGCTTAGCATAATACCCTCTAGTTCCATTCGTGTCGTTGCACATTGGCAAGAGTTCATTCTTTTTGGTGGCTGAGTAATATTTCAGTGTGTTGTGTGTGTGTGTGTGTGTGTGTGTGTATCACGTCATCTGCATATAGTGGAAGTTTGATGGGTATTAAGGAGGGCACTTATTGTGATGAGCACTGAGTGTTGTATGTAAGTGATGAATCACTAAATTCTACCCTGAACCTAATATTACACCGTATGTTAACTAACTGGAATTTAAACAAAAACTTGAAAAAAGAAAAAATAAATAAAGGGTGTTTCTTGTTGATAGTTTATAGTAGGGTCATTTTTTTGATCTGCTCTTATAATCTCCACCTTTAATGGAGTGTTTAGTCCATTTATAGTTAATGTGATTATTAAAACTTTTCATAGTTGGGTCTAACATTTTACTATTTGTTTTGTTTGCTCTGTGTTTTGTTATCCTATTACTTCTCTGATTTATTTTGGGTTAATTTTTTTTTTTTTAGGATTCCATCTTAATTTATTGCCAATCTTATTTTTGAACATTTTCTTGATTATTCTTGACCAGGAAACTTAGTAATTATCTGTCAATCTCATTCCCCACCCCAACACTACAAAGCAAAACAAAACAAAAAATTAAAGATAAACCATCTTGCCAGAATTCTAGTTAGACTAGAATTGAATTACATTTATAAATTATTTTGGGAAGAAATATGTATTTACAATATTTTATTCCTATGTAGCTACTTCATAAGTCTCTCTCTATATACTCAATAATTTTTTTCAGTAGTTTTTGTGGTCTTTATCCAAATGTACATATTTCCTGTTAAGGTTAGTTACATACATGTATTTTGTGTTAATGTTAATATTGCAAATGACAATTATCTAGTTTTATTCTACTTTTTTATGCCCAGCACACACCTTCTGGGAATTTTTTTGAAATAAGCATTGAGATAAAAATTGAGACAAAGTTGAAGACATGAAATACTATAAAATGTATTGTACTATATCATCCATCAATAAACTTATAATTTCAACAATTTAATATAATGGGGGTATAGGAATAAAGTATTCTAATCCACATAAAACTGGCTAAATGTGAGTAATTTAAACGAGCAACAATATAATAACATATTTTAGTATTAAGTGGTTAGAATTTTTCTAAGGCTTTATGCATATAAACTCACTTAATATCCATAAAACCAATGGCAAAAATTATTTTTTGTTTTAAAGATTTTATCTAGGGGTGCCTGGGTGGCTCAGTCGGTTAAGCATCTGCCTTCGGCTCAGGTTGTGATCACAGGGTCCAGTGATCAAGCCCCACATCGAGCTCTCTGCTCAGCGGGAGGCCTGCTTCTCCCTCTCCCACTCCCCCTGCTTGTGTTCCCTCTCTTGCTGTGTCTCTCTCTGTCAAATAAATAAATAAAATCTTTTAAAAATAAATAAATAATTAAAATAAAGATTTTATCTATTTGTCAGAGAGAAAGAGAGTGCACAGCAGGGGGAGCAGTAGGCAGAGGGAGAAGCAGACTCCTCGCCTAGCAAGGAGCCCCAAGCGGGACTCCAACCCAGCTCACGACCCGAGCAAAAATTCTTGTTTCCATTTTACAGATGAGAAACAGGGAGCTATGTACTCAAAATGCTCCATCCAGTACACACTCAACCAGTGTGGCATCAGAGTCTGGTCTTAACCGCTACACTGTGCTGTCTCTACTGATCAAATAAAGCACATCTTAATTTTCAGTTTCAATTGCCAAATAACAGAAATAAGCACTTTACTGGGTTTTTTTTTAAGCACTTTACTGTTCTATCACTGAATAGCAGAAATCACTATATCACTATTAGAAGAAAACTAGGTCTTTTAAAATTAACTGATAATGTTGCTACGTACACATATGTAAATAAAAAGACCAACTAATAACCTGGAGAATTTTTCACACTGAGAAATGAAGTTTGTTTAGAAGTTAGGAACATGAAATATGAAGCCAAATCAATTTTAAACTGCCTTTAACTGCAATTTAAATCATCCCTATCCTGAGATTCTTTTTTTTATAAACAGATATCAACTGAGGTCACCTGAAATTGAAAACAAAAACATAATGGGGTAACTGTGGTACATTATCAATACTCAGAATCTTTTTAAAAAATTGCCTCTGCTTTGTACTCTGCTCCAAGACAGTTTGATACTAAAGAATTAAAATTACTTGAGGGGCACCTGGGTGGCTCAATTGGTTAAGCATCCAACTCTTCATTTTCACTCAGGTCATGATCTCAGGGTGTTGAGAAGGAGCCCCAAGTTGAGCTCTGCACTCAGTGGTGAGTCTACCTAAGATTCTCTCTCTCCCTCTGCTTCTTCCCCTGCTCACTCACTTGCTTACTCTCTCTCTCAAATAAATAAATACATCTTAAAAAAAAGATTCTTTCTCCCTCTGCCCCTCCCCACCCCTGCTTGCATGCATGAGTGCATGTGTGTTCTCTCTTAAAAAAATTACTTGAGGTTCCAGTGTACAGAAATAAAACTTTAGCTTCTCATATTACCTGATCTGATGAGATTTCTGAATCAAATATAGTAGAATCAAATAAATTCAATCCAGGAGATCTAGAAGTATAATTCGTAAGAAAAGAAAATCCAGGGGATTCCTTTTGTGTTTGACCTTCAGGCATTATATTTCTATTTCTGTTACAAAGAAATAATAAAAATGTTAAAAATAAAAAAATTTAAAAAATGTTAAAAATATATTACTAAATACTGCAGACTGGTAAACAATAGCACAGAAGTAAGAATTAGTACAGTAGGGAAAGGGAGAGAATAGTTATTGAAGTGAAAAACCTCTTAAGAAAAAGATGGTTTGAGGTGGAAAATAATGTTAAAGTAGAACAATCAATTAGGGAATCATAATGAATTCCAACTGAGAATATACTGTCCAGCTCTATTCTAGGTATTTCCACTGGCATTAACTTACTTATTCCTCACAATAAACCTATGAAATAGGTACTATTATTACTACCTCCATTTTACAGAAGAAAATTTTGAAGCATAGAAAGGTTAAATGACTTTCTCCAAGAAATGTAAGTGCCAGAGTTGGGATTTGAATTCAGCAATCCAGATTCAAAGTCCCAGCTCTTAACTTTGAGGCTATATTGTCTCCAAGATTTTGAAAGACAGTTACAAGATTTTAGTCTTGATGAGGAGTCAGCCATTACATATTTTGGGTAAGGAAGTTAAACTATAAAATGATTTGGGAAAAATAATTAGAGAGCATAGTGGTTAAATGAATTCTGGAGGTAGAGCTGCCTGCATCCATGTCTTGGCTTTAACACTGTGCATATTGGCCTCTATGGCACTACAAGTAACCATGAAAATAGTTCCCATTTCCATGCACAAGTATTCAGCTATAACACCATTTAAAATTAGTATGGACAAGGTAACCTTTGCAATAATTAATATTCATTCGGATAACTACAATTAAATGAATATTAAATCAAGTAAAAAATAGGCTATGTTCAACATGCTCTAGATGTCAGGGTGTAATATTCAATGTTATTTAAAACTTAATTTTCTTTTTTTCTTTTTAAAGGGACATCTTTTCTATATGTGGGTGCTCAAATGAAAACTGAGGAATGCATTCTTTGACCATAGGAGCAAAATTCAGACAAAAGAGAGTGCTTGCCTCCTCCTCTGAAAGAATGCATTTGCTCATTATCTCTCTCTCCAGGCATCATTTCCCATATTATTAATGAAAATGCTTACAAGTACCAACCCCAAATTTCTGTCTTTAAGGGTAAGTTATAAATTTAAAAAAGAGTGGTTCATTATATAAAAAAGTCAAATTCCAGCAAAACTAATGCTAAAAATGACATTAAATTTCTTAGCATCCACATAATATATTTTCATGAATTTTCTATTATGTGCAGATTTATTTTCTTTAAGAAGTAAAATGAAGTTTGAATAGTACAGTCTGTGTTGTGGTGACATCAGCAACTGCCAGTTCTTGCTCATCAACGAGTCCCAATTCTTTCAACGTCTTGGAGAGATTTGGCCTTGTTCGTTCTTCAATTGAGGTTACTGACTGTAAGTAAAGTGTTCTATTTTTTTCCCTCTAATGTGACTGTGATGGCTGGAGATTTCATCTGCAGAGGAGCACTACTGGTTAAATAATCCAAAACCTCCTGCAGTTTAGTGGATGGAGAAAACTGAATATTTTGAGGAAGCTGGCTAGAAGCTGGGCAGTTTTCCTTTCTCTCTGCTTCAAATGTGTATGTTTACAGTCCATCTACATCACTGAATACCAAGTATAAGAGGAATATATGCACTTGTGGCTATTTTAAAAACCTCAGTGGCACATACAGCTGCAATAACTGCATTTGTAGAAGCTACTGCAGGAATGATTCACTTTACTACACCTTGAGTGAGTCTATAGGTAACACCCCTAGTATTATATTGTGATGCTATCTCCACGAACTTTTGGAAAATCCACTGAATATGATCAGGATCATTTACATCTAATGGACTCCTTCTCCAAAAGCTGCTCCTTAGGCCACTGCAGTATCCTTACATACTCAATACAGTGTTCTGGTAGCCTGGGCATAGACGCAATGGTGCACACGGGAAAATTAATCTGTGGAGGATGCAGTTCTAGTGTGCATTCAATACAAGCGGTCATTCCAGGCAGAATCACTTGGGCATTTCCTTTAAAATCTTCTGTCCCCCCATCTATCAAAGGAACAATGGAGCTTGGATCTAATAACACCATCTTCATAATTTAGAAGAGATATCAGCATGCCATTTATCCATCTTCTGGCTACGACAGAGTCCAGTCCACATACAATTATATGAAATTGTCGATAGAAAGTGTCATTAAAATCCTGAAAACTTGTTGAAATGTTGAACTACATTGCAATTAGGAACTCTGTCATTTAGAAATTCTGCAGCAACTTCAGCCTTAGGTCTTCCAACATCTTTAGGCCTATATAAAAACTGCCTATTTAGATTGGAAACATCTATAGTGTCCATGTCTATAACATAAATCTAAAACCAGACAATGCCAGATTTTTTAGGAACTCACATCCTAAGCTGCCAGCTCCAATGACCAGAACTTTACATGTATCTAACAAAAACTGGAGAGATTCAGTGCTCAGTTCGAAATCAGGGTGTGTGAAGGGTCCAGATCGCTCGAGGAACTTCTTTACATGGTTCCAGCGAACTTCTCAGTCTCCAGTGTTCCCACACCCAACATCAACAGCCATTTTCTCAGCCAGCAGCTCCTCTATTCTCCTTCTTTTTTTCTCCAGCTCCTCGCCATCCACCATATTGTCTCCCAAGCTACCTGCATTTGAATCTCAACTCTATCACTGACAAGTTGTATCACCTAGGATTCTGTTTCCTCTTCTATAAAATAAGAATAATGTATTTACATCTCATAAAGTTGTGACTATTAAATGAGCAATATTTATAAAGTGTTTAGACACAGTTAATGCTATTGTTAAATAAGATAGAAATCTGAAAATACTTCCATAACTGTCTCCGTTGACCATCAATGAGTCACTTAACTTTACAGATCAGTTTTCTCATCCATAAACAGAGGTTTTAGCATATGGCTGCCATATCCTTTTACAGTTCTCGTATTTGATGATGAGTTCCACTTTGAATATACTGTGTGTGAGTCAACAGCGTGACTTTAATATATAAAACCCTTACTAGCAATTTAAAATACAGAAGTAGAACATGGGTAAGAGATATCTGAAGTGGAATCTGATATATGTTTTAAAAGAATCTTAAAGTTTGTAGTTTAAAAAGGGATTAAACTAAACAAAAAGGTTAAATGCAGCCTATTCTCTTGGCTGTAAACTACAAATCTGTGGTTTCCAAAGTTAAATAATCATGTTAAGAGATATTTCTGCCAAGTAAACCAAGGTTACTTAACAGATGGCAATTCTTGCTTTAGACACTACAACATAAGGAAAAATGACAGCTGGAACATTATTCAATGATGTCCACAATCTACCATACACGATAATACCTTTTTAGCTTGACATTTAATATTTTTCCATACATCTTTTATCCTTTGGAAAATCTTAAATGTATATACTATTGCACAGGATAAGTACTCAGAATCTATACCATCTTCAGCTGAATGCTGTAGGAAAAATGGGGAAGAGGTTCTATGAAACAAGAATGGCAGAATGTTAATAATTGTTTAAACAGGATACTATGTACATGGAGGTTCATTACGCTAGTCTCTCTCCTTTGTGTATTTGAAATATTCCATAATAAAACCTTTTTGAAGTTACAGGAACTAGACATTTTACTATTCCTATTATTTATAAAATATTGGCTCAATATATATAGATTCTTTAATGATAATTATTAATTAAAATCCTACATTTCAAAAGAAGGGGTTTTAGGAAACAATAATTTCTCCAAAGATTCAGGTGTTTTCACAGCTTCAGGGTTTCTTAAAAATAAAGGAATTTCAGGAGTTTGTAGAAAATTCTCAGCCCTTTCTTCTACTTCATCACTATTATTTTCTATTGGTTTCCCAAAATGTTCTGCACAAAAAACCTGCAAATTCAAAATAATAGAAAACTATAAAAATGAATGTTATTTTTTAAAAAGGTTATTACATTAACAAATTCACACATGTAAAAATGTGTGAGGAAGAACATCATATTAATCCATGATGTTATCACTTCATAGACAAAATAAGTAAAATAAGAATAACTGATGAAAGTGATACCAAAATATAATTGTGCAAAATATGGAAAAATAATTATTTTTAATTTTCTAATTTTTCTCTTCTTCCCAGCTCCACCTCCCTTACGTTTACCTGAAAAAAGGAAATGATAACCAGAACATACTCAAATTGATGAAGAAAAATGGTTAGGAATGATTTTTTAAATTTCCACATCATGCACTGGCTCAGGAATTGTATATGACACAGGAAGGAAAAAATGATTTACTTCTAAGCAATCTTATTCTCATTGGCTGTGTTCTCTGTACATTTTTGTCCTTAAAAATTCATTACACTACTTTCTCTGCAAAGGTTGAGAACATGAATAGTAATTTTCCTTTATATCATTTTGTAGGGTAGGAATATGACTTCTCAAATATGTTTGCTATACTAAATCCTATTTCAGAAATAATTTGGGTCTCTCAACCAAAAAAATTCAAAATATTCTTTTTACCTGTTTTTCTTGAGCAGAATTCTACTATGTCATTTGTCTTGTTTTAACCCTTAGTAGCTACCTTAGTAAAGCCAATAAACATTGTCTACATCTGTCATTAAAGTTTTCCACTACTAAAATATATTTTGAAAATATTTTTGTGGCAACCACTGGTCTTGAACTGCCTTAGAAAATCATTTAATTTTACCAAACAAAATTGTTTTCTTCAGTTGTGATTTAGTTGTGGCATCAATATATATAGTCAATTATTAATGACAACTCTTTTTGTATATTTTCCTATAAACTTTTTGTGGCTTCATTTTTTAATCTAAAACTCCTCTAAGGAATAGAAGCTTTAACACCACAGAAACTTGATTACTAACCTAAAACACCTAGACCTCACATATATAATCTTCATTAAACTTAATCTGAAATTAAAGTGGAAACAATATTTTAAATTGGAATATTTTGCTTAGAAATTAGAAATCAAACATTTGACTTACTTGTGAAGTACATTTTGATTCTCTCAATTGTCTTACTGTACCTTTGTCTTCACACTCAGCATCTGTTTGTTATAGGAGAACAAATTATTTTTTCTTTTGGCAACTTAATTGTAAATAAAACATACAAACAATAAGAAATTACCAATATTTGTTTCTGACCTACAAAAATAGCAATTTCATACAGCTTAACCCAATCCATACAGATAAGAGAATAAAATCCATACAAACAGTTTAACAAAGAAAATTATAGAGAATACCCATGTAACCATCACCCAGGTAAAGAAACAGAACATCATACATACTCCAAAAGGTCCCATATTCCTCATATCATCCCCTTCAGAGGTAATCGCTTTCCTGACTTCTGTAAGGATTATTTCCTTGATTTGCTTTCTATAGTTTTATCACCTAAGTAATACAGTTTACCTGTTTTAAAATGTTGTATGATAAAATGGTAATATAGATGTTCTTTGTCTTGCTTTTTTTGTTCAGCATATGCTTGTGAAATTCATCTGTATTGTTTCATATAGACATAATTTGCTTACTTGTATGGATGTAAAGTATTCTATTGTACAAACACAACATAATATACCTACCTATTCTACTAGCAAATGGGCATTTGGGGTATTTCTACTTTGACACTATTACAAACAGTAATGATATGAACATGCCTTTACATATATACTTGTACGTATGTACTTGTATTTCTCCAGGTATATACCTAGGAGTGGAATTACGAGGTATAGAATATGTATATCTTTCATTTTACCAAATTTTAAACTATTTTCCAAAGTTTAGTTTCCAAACTATCAATTTTTGTTGTGGTACCTAGCCATCCCAAGTTACCTTAGGAGCTCATTCAATTTCACCAGACAAAACTATTAGCTCTAATTATAATTTAGATATGGTCTCAATATATAGACATTTATAAATGAGAGTTTCCCCCAATAGTTGTGAGAGTTCTTATCATCCTATATTCTCATTAATACTTAGTATTGTCAGACTTTCTAAATTTGCTTATCTGTTGGATGTGTAATAGTTCACTGTGGCTTTATTTTTCAGTTTCCTAATTTGCTGAGCATCTTTTAATTTACCACGTGAGTTTCTCTATTTGAAGTGCCTATTTGCATATTTTGCACATATTTCTAATTGGGTTGTCTGTCTTATTTTCCTTGGCTTGTAGAAGTTCTTTGTACAATTTTGGAAACCAGTCCTTGGACAGTTTTATGTGTTAAAAATATATCCTCTTGTCTTCCATTCTTTTTTTTTTTTTTTTTAGGTTTTTATTTATTTGAGAGAGAGAGAGAAAGAGAGCGCATAAGCAGGCAGAGTGGCAGGCGAAGGAAGAGGGAGAAGCAGACTCCCTGCTAAGCAGGGAGCCTAACTCAGGACTTGATCCCAGGACCCTGAGATCATGACCTGAGCTGAGGGCAGACGCTTAACAGAATGAGTCACCCAGGCGCCCCTTCCATTGTTTTTATAATGTCTTTTGATGAACAGAAAGTCTTAAGCTTAATACAGCCAAATTTATCAACCTTTCTGATTGGGCTTTTTAATTCTTATTTAAGAATTCTTTCCTACCTTGAATAGACGTTTTTCTATTTGATCATCTGAAAGCTTTATAGTTTTGCCTTTTGCAGTTAAGTCACAACTATTATTTTCACCACATATTAACTTCCTCAAAAGACAGGCTTGGAGATTGTTGAAGAGAGTCCTTTTTTTCTTCTAAGATGATTACATGCCTTTTTGGGTATGAAGCCTTAACATACATGCTGAATAGCAGCTAGACTGTGCCAGATATATGCATTTCCCCACATATCTGTATTAGGGGTGCATTGTTCCTCGAGATCAGCCATTCTTCCCTTGTCTAACACTCTATCAGCTTAGGATATATAGAGGATTATAAACAGGTGGAACAAATCACAGAAAGGTTCCCCTTTCTCTACATCCTCACCAAAACCTGTTGTTCACTGTGTTGTTAACTTTAGCCATTCTGATAGGTGTGAAATGATATCTCATTGTACTTTAATTTGTATTTCCCTGATGATAAATGATGTTGAGCATCTTTTCATGTGTCTGTATGTCTTCTTTGGAAAAATGTCTATTCACGTCTTCTTCCTATTTTTTAATTGGATTATTTGTTTTGGGGGTGTTGAGTTTTATAAGTTCTTTACATATTTTGGATACTAACCCTTTATCAGATAATGTCATTTGCAAATATCTTCTCCCATTTCGTAGGTTGCCTTTCAGTTTTGTTGACTGTTTCCTTTGCTGTGCAGAAGCTTTTTATTTTGATGAAATCTCAATAGTTCATTTTTCCATTTGTTTCCCTTGCCTCAGATGTATCTAGTAAGAAGTTGCTATGGCCAATGTGAAAGAGGTTACTGCCTGCGTTTTCCTCTAGGGTTTTAATGGTTTTCCGTCTTACATTTAGGTCTTTCATTCATTTGAATTTACTTTTATGTATGGTGTAAGAAAATAGTTGTTTCATTCTTTTGCATGAGGCTGTTCTCCCAACATCATTTCTTGAAGAGACTGTCTTCTTTCCATTGGATAGTCTTTCTTGCTTTGTCAGAGATTAGTTGACCATATAGTTGTGGGTCCGTTTCTGGGTTTTCTGTGCTGTTCCATTGATCTATGTGTCTTTTTTTTTTTTTTTTTTTTAAGATTTTGTTATTTATTTGAGAGAGAGCAAGAGAGAGAGCGAGCGATAAGCAGAGGGAGAAGCTGGCTCTCCGCTGAGCAGGGAGCCCGACTCGGGACTCGATCCCGGGACTCCGGGATCATGACCCAAGCCAAAGGCAGCTGCTTAACCAACTGAGCCACCCAGACACCCCTATGTGTCTGTTTTTATGCCAGTACCATACTGTTTGATCACTGCAGCTTTGTAATATAACTTGAAGTCTGGAACTGTGATGCCTCCAGCTTTGTTTTTCAAGGTTGCTTTGGCTATTCAGGGTCTTTTGTGGTTCCATACAAATTTTCGCATTGTTTGTTCTAGCTCTGTGAAAAATGCTGTTGTTATTTTGATAGGGATTGCATCATATGTGTAGATTACTTTGGGTAATATAGATATTTTAACAGTATTTGTTCTTCCAATCCATGAGCATGGAATGTTTCTCCATTTCATCTTCATTTCTTTTATCAGTGTTTTGTGGTTTTCAGAGTATGGGTCTTTCATCTCTTTGGTTAGGTTTATTCCTGGGTATCTTACAGTTTTTGGTACAATTGTAAATGGGATTTATTCCTTAATTTCTCTTTCAGCTGCTTCATTATTGGCATATAGAAATGAAACAGATTTCTGTATGTTGACTTTGTATACTACAACTTTATTGAATTCATGTTATCTGTTCTAGCAGTTTTTTGGTGGAGTCTTTCAGGTTTTCTATATATAGTATCATGTCATCTACAAATAGTGAAAGTATTACTTCTTCCCCACTGATCTGGCTGCCTTTTATTTCTTTTTGTTGTCTGACTGCTGTGGCTAGGATTTGCAGTATTATGTTGGATAAAAGTGGTAAGAGTGGACATCCCTGTCTTGTTCCTGACCACAGAGGAAAAGGTCTCAATTTTTCCCCAATGAGGATGATTTCAGTTGTGGTTTTTTGTACATGGACTTTATTGTGTTGAGGTATGTTCCCTCTAAACCTACTTTATTGAGGGTTTTTTTCATGAATGGATGTTGTACTTTTTCAAATGCTTTTTCTGCATCTATTGAAAGGATCATACGGTTCTTATCCTTTCTTTTATTAATGTGATGTATCATGTTGATTGATTTGTGAATACTGAACCACCCTTGCAACCCAGGAATAAATCCCACTTGATAGTGGTGAACGGTTCTTTTAATGTACTGTTGGATTTGGTTTGCTAGTATTTTGCATCCATGTTCATCAGGGATATTGGCCTGTAGTTTTCTTTTTTAGTGGAGTCTTTATCTAGTTTTGGTATCAAAAAAAATGAATTTGGAAGTTTTCCTTCCTTTTCTATTTTTTGAAATAGTTTGAGAAGAATAGGTATTAACTCTTCTTTAAATGTTGGGTAAAATTTGCCCATGAAGCCTCCTGGCCCTGGATTTTGTTTGTTGGAAGACTTTTTATTACTGATTCAATAGAATGAGCCATTTTTAAAACTTCAAAATAAAAGTTTGTAATCCACATGATACAGACAAGAAGTAGTGAATACTTTTATATAGCCTAATATATATATATATAAGTGGAATAACTGTTATTCATTACTGGATTACCAGCATATGTATATATGTATACATACATATGAGATGTCTTATGTTACACATTATGTTATATATATTATGTATTTACATGTACATATATACATACATAAAGAGATAGAATGAGTTTTTTTAAAGGGTGTGATACCCTTAAAATTTTCCAACAGCTAGTTGACTCTAACATAATAAACTCATATATACATACATATATTTATATATACATATACATATATATATCCTGTGACCTTTTTATGATTGTATTCAAAGAAAATAATCCAAGATAGTAAAAGATTTATGTAAAAGAATATAGTAGCATTAGGAAAAAAACCCAACCTGGAAACAAAATAGTTAATGTTTTGAAAAAGAATGGCTAAATAATTAAAAGAAGTCAATATAAAAATAATTCAATATTTTGAGAGAATGGCTAAATGAATTATAGCATATCCTTACAATGGCATATGATACAGTCATTAAAAATAAAATCTATTTAATGGCATAGAAAAATACTCTAACAGTATATCAAGCAGAAAGAAAAGGTTACAAAATTATATATAGTATTGTTTCAAATTTGGGGGGAAAAAATAAAAGAACACACATATACGTAGGAAAAAAGGACGAGAACATATACTACTATGGATGGTGTCAGTTATATCTGGGTGATGGTATCTTTGTTTCTTTTTATTCTTCTCTGTTTTCCAAATCTTTTACAATGAAATGTTTTATATTTACTGAAAAATGTTTTTAAAAACCAGGCATGCATGGTCAGTTAACCAGAGATGCAAACAATCCAAATAATGTATTTGAATAGTATAAAAGCTGGATATAATTTGTTACTCCCACTTCTTAGGAAAAATATAAACAGCAAATACCTGTATCTCCTTTTTCACACCATTGACTGCAATTTGATTGTTTCTGTGGGGTTAACAATCTAAAATACAATAAATAAATTTTATATTATTTGCTGATTTATTAATTTCAGAAATTAAAACATTTTTCCTATTTTAAAAGTTACCTGAAATGCATCATATTTTGTGAATTTTTAATAGCCACAGAATTTGAGCATTTTGAATGGTTATTCAGAGTAGAGTCATTAAGTACCTGAACAAAAGAAATTAAGTATTAGAACTAGCTACACAGACAACAAAAATTTTTTGCTTGCCATGGCTACTGAAGGTTCTCCAAGAACACTGTCATTCTCCACCTCATCATCATTAGCAATATGAACAACAACTACAAACATTAACTGAAACCACTACATACAAAATATTAAGTCAAATACTGGAAAAGTTTAAGACTCTTAAGGAATTTGGTATTTTAGACAAGTATAACAACTATGCTTCGTAGTATTCCTACATTTAAGATAAACTTAAAAATTTTTATCCCATATTTATTACTAATCAAGTCAATCTTACCATTTTCTCAAATGATTTGTGTCTATTCTCTATAACCTCTTAAATTGAACATAAAGAAGCAAAATAGGTTAAAAGATTAAAACCTGAGATTTTGTTTTTTATATATGTATGAAAAAGGTAGTATTTCATTTTTAACTTTAAATTTTATTTAATATTAATATCTAAGCCACTGCTTTACTAATGTTTGTATTGTCTGTTTCAAGTCATTCATTCTCCGTGAGTCACTCATTTTGAAGTGTTCCTGATTTTTCTTATTTGACTCAACATAAAAATATATTTTAATAGGAAAATGTATCCCATTTATTTTTGTTATAACAGCCATTGGTCTTAATTCTGTAATCTTACTATGATTTTAGATCATAAGAAAAGACCTTGCACCTTAAAGAACATCTGTCCCTTAAAGAATAAGTGTTGTTAATTTCAATGTATGTTTTAAACAATATACATTTTGTATGGGTTCCCTGGTAAAAGTATTTGTACAAGTTAAGTAGTTGTTTACAATAGATGCCAAGAACTAAAATTGCTGAACATTTGCATTTTTATTTTTAATAAGTACTATGAACCAGTCCTCCAAAGTAATTACACCAAATTACATTCCCACTATTGCTGACTTTAATAGATATTATCAAGTGTTGTAGTGTATGCAAATCTGATAGGGGAAACCAGATATCTCGTTGGTTCAATATGCATTTCCCTGTACCCCTGAGCTCAAGTACCTTGTTATGTTTTGTGACACTTTTTCTGTAAACTGTTTTATCTTTTGCCTATTTTTTGCCTAAAAATTAATTTGTATTATGTGTTTATATATTATACATTCTGTATACCAATCTCCTATCCATTCTGTCATTCTCTTTAACTTTGTTGGTGTCTTTTGTCACACAGAATTTTTTTTATTTTGATGTAGTCCATTGATCAATTTGTCTTTTCTTATACCACACTGTTACAATCATTGCATTTTGATAATGTTTTAAAATGTTCTGGGATGGAGTGCCTGGGTGGCTCAGTCAGTTAAGTGGCCGACTCTTGATTTCAGCTCATAATCTCAGGGTTGTGAGATTGAGCCCCACATTGGGTTCTGCGCTGGGCATGGGGCCTGCTTAAGATACTTTCTCTCCCTCTCCCTTTACCCCTCCCTCCTGCCCCCCCTGCTCGCTCACTCTCTCTCCCACCCTAAAAAAAAAAAAAAAAAAAAATGTTCTGGGATGATGAAAATGTTCTGGAATTAAGACAGTGGTGATGGTTACACCACCTTTAGAATACACTAAAAACCACTGAAATGTACATTTTAAAATGAATTTTATGATAAACATTTTGATATCTAAGAGTATGAGTTTCCCTTACATTGTTTTAAAACTTTTCATACTCTAAGTATGAAAATCTTTAGTTAAAATTATTTTAAATCTTCAGTTAAAATTATTTATTAATCCGTTGATGTAATGTCAATATGCTTGATAGACTTTTCTAATGCTATCATTGTAATTCTTGGGAAAGCCAAGTTTAGTCATATTTTTTTAATGTTACAGTGCCCAATTAGGTTTGCTAATAATTTATTTGGATTTCTACATGTATGTTCATTCTTGAGACTAACATATAATTTTTTCTTTCACTATCTTTGTCCTTGCTACCTAATGAATTAGCCATGCATAATTTGCTGGCTAGTTTCCAACTTCTATATTCTAGAATTGCTTATTAATAATAAATAATAATAAAGAGACTGCCTCAACTAGCAATTTTGCCTCCCAGGGAACATCTGACAATGTCTGGAGACATTTTCTATTGTCTTTTCTTTGAGGGGAGGTGCTATTGGCCCCTAGAAGGTCACAAGATAACCCTACAAAAAAGGATTATCTGGTCTACAATGTCAATAGTGTCACAGTTTAGAAACTCTAATTTAGTCCTCAAAGGTTTGGTAGAATTCACCCGAAAAACTGATTCTGGTGTGTTTTGAAAGGGGTGTGTGTGTGTGTGTGTGTGTGTGTGTGTGTGTGTGTGTGTGTGTGTGTGTGTGTGTATGACAGAGGGAGAAGGGAGGCAAGTAATGGAGGAAAGAGGAAAACAGAGATTTGCTTACATTTCAGTTTCACTTACATTTCCATTTCTTCTAGTTTATTGATCTATTCACGTCTTTCTTTTTCAGTCTATATAACAATTTATATTGTCCTAGAAAATTAATGCCCTCACCTAAATTTTCAAATTTATTGATATAAAGTCTTAGGACCTTGAAAACATTTCTTCCCTATGTACAATGATATGCACTTTTCCCCCTTATTATTCTTTTCTTTTGAGAGGTGGGGGCTTTTCTCTTTTTTTGTACTTGCTGAAACTTTATTTTATTGATATTTAAAAGTTACTAACTTTTGGCTATACTGATTAACCTAACTTTCTAATTTCATTAATTTCTGCTTTTCTCTTTATTAATTCCTACTTTCTTTGGATTATTTTCCTGTTTTGAGTTGCGCTTTTTTCATACTTTGAACTTTTCATACTTAGAGTTCAGCTAATTTTAATCTTTATTTTCTAATATACTTGTTTTCAAATATAAATTTCTGAGGACCAATTTGGCTACATTCCACAGGTTTTGGTTTATAGTATTCTTCTAAATAGTTTTTAAATTTTATTTTGATTTGTTCTATAACCCCCAAATAATTTGAAAGTGTGTGAATTTCTTTTTCCTCTGCTAAATACTTTTTTGAGAGGAGGGCTTTGTTTGTTGAACTTTTTTTATATAGTGGTAAATAAAGAGATTAACTTTTTAGAACTGGTTGAGATATACTTTTAGTTGTAGTAAATGGCCAGTTTTATTTTATTTTATTTTTAAAGATTTTATTTACTTGACAGAGAGACACAGCGAGAGAAGGAACACAAGCAGGGAGAGTGGGAGAGGGAGAAGCAGGCTTCCCGCTGAGCAGGGAGCCCAATGCGGGGCTCTATTCCAGGACCCTGGGATCATGACCTGAGCTGAAGGCAGACACTTAACGACTGAGCCACCCAGGCGCCCCAGTAAATGGCCAATTTTAGTGAATACTGCAAGTATCAGGAAAAGAAAGCATAGATGAGCCTGAGAAATGACACTGTGGAAATGATGCTATCAGCCCTGATAAGTGAACCTGACTGAGCCTCTTTGAATTTCATGGGCAGGTAAGAGAAAAATAAATATTTATCTTGTTTAAGATGCTGTTATTTCATTCATTTGGCTTTGTATTGTTACACATGTAGCCAAACTCAACCCCTAAACTCAAGATAGTACTTTTTTTGAGAGAACTATTCTTTTTAAACTGTGGATTCAATACTTTCTTGGAATTCTATCAATTTTTACTTTATATATGGTGCATCATGGTTCTTAGGACTTAGTGAGTTATTCTTTTTTAAAAAATATGAAATATATTTATCCCTATTAATGCTTTTTGTCTTAAACTCTATTTTATATGGCATTGTTACATCTGCTTTTTGTTTGCATTTGTCTGGTATATATTTCCCATTTCCTTCTACCTTCACCCTTCATTTGTCAAATTGTTTCAGCTCTTCTGTTTTAAAAGTATACGGCTATACTACTCTGGAAAACAGTATGAGGTTCCTCAAAAAGTTAAAAATAGAACTACCCTACAATCCAATAATTGCACTACTAGGTATTACTCAAAGAATACAAAAGTACAAATTCGAGGGCGCCTGGGTGGCTCAGTTGGTTAAGCAACTGCCCTCGGCTCTGGTCATGATTCCAGGGTCCTGGGATCGAGTCCCACATTGGGCTCCCCCTGCTCTGCGGGGAGCCTGCTTCTCCCTCTGCCTGCCACTCTCCCTGCTTGTGCTCTCTCTCTCTGTCAAATAAATAAATAAAATCTTTAAAAAAAAATACTAATTCGAAGGGATATATGCACCTCTCTGTTTACAGCAGCATTATCAACAATAGCCAAATGGAAAGAGCCCAAATGTCCATCGACTAATGAATGAATAAAGGAGATAGATATTCATACACACATACACATATACACACACACACACACAAATACAGTATTACTCAGCTGTAAAAAAAGAATGAAATCTTGCTATTTCCAATGATGTGGATGGAGCTAGAGATTATTATGCTAAGTGAAATAGAGAAAGACAAATACCATATGATTTCACTCATATGTGGAATTTAAGAAACAAAACAGATGAATATTGGGGGGAAAAAAGAGAGGCAAACGATAAAACAGACTCTTTATATAAACTATAGAGGACAAACTGAGGGTTGCTGGAGGGAAGGTGGGCAGGGGGGAATGGGTTAAATGGGTGATAGGTATTAAGGAGGGCACTTATTGTGATGAGCACCGAGTGTTGTACGTAAGTGATGAATCACTAAATCCTACACCTGAAAGAAACTAATATTACACTGTATGTTAACTAACTGAATTTTAAAACTTGGAAGAGGGAATAAAAGTATATGGCTATATTTGTATATATATTACACAGAAGCACCTCTGTCACATATTTGATTACAGATTTGTTTGGAACTATTTATGGCATTTTATTTATTTTCTATTTATAATGTGTTCTAGCTATTTTATCCACCCTTCCATTCCTGCCTTTTGTAGGACTGATTAAGTTTTGTTTCATCTTTTTTCTTCTATTTTAAAACTTACACACTGCACTTTATGTTGGTTACCCTTACATGTTTAATATACACACATGAATTCACATTTTTCCAAC